AAAAAAAAAAAAAAAAAAAATACACCTGAATCTGATTAAGCTTCTAGATCAGCTTCCAATTTACAGAAAATACAGGACAAAAAAATCTGTTCAATTACAGTCCAGGATGAAATCAGTAAAACCCAGACTGTGGGAAAGTCGACGGGACAAAAGAACTGCAACAAATAAAATGCAAAGGTGAGAGCTAGAGACAGAAGGAAATTATAAATTAAAAGAGGCTTAAAAGGCAAGCCAACAATTGTAAAAGGTGGGTACAGATGCAAATGCATTTTAAAAATACAAAATTTAGGAAAATGTTAGTAATCTGAACATGGAATAGACATTTGACAGTGTTAAGGAATTATGATCATCAGATGTGATGATCGGGGGGTTGTATTAAACAAAAAAGGCAATCTTGCCTTCCTTTAGAGATCCACCCTAAAATACTACAGGTGGATTGGCTTCCAAATTCGGGGTGGACACAGTGAGTAGGAAATACAAGGAAACAAGACTGGCTACGAGCTGATAACTGTTGAAACTGTGTAATGGGCACATGAGGGGTCATCTACTCTCTCTACTTAACAAATATATTAGAAATTCTCAATAATTAGAAAGAAAGCTCCAATTAACTTTCTGGACCAAGTAAATAAAGAATCCTAAGCTTAAAAATAAAATAAGACTTTTCTCCAAAATAATAAAACAACTAAATTAAGGACAGTCAGAGAACACGTAAGCTGGGTGAGATCTCACTTCACACTGAAGGCGAGGGCAGAGCCCGAGGACAGTGGAGCTGGAGCCCCCCACACACTGCCCTTCAGAGGGGACGCTCCCCCGACCCAGACTCGGCCTCAGAAGCTGGCCGGTGGGGCAGAAGCTCCACGGTCTGATTTTCTTCAAAACCATCTCACATGGCCCGCAGACTACAGTCCGTCGTTTCGTACACGGATGGCTGTGTAGAGATACGTAAGTTATGGGCACTGTAACTGTCCTTGTCACTGTGTGGCAGGCCTGAAGTTCTTAGCGTGTGCAGATGAGCACCCGCCGTAATTAAAATAAACGCATGTGAGACACGCCCCTGAGGGCTTCCAACCAGACCGTGACGGTGACCGTCTCACAGGCCGCGGGGCTCTGTGTGTTTCTTCTTGAACTTCAGACGGGCGACCATTCTGAGGTCACTACAGATGGAATGTCCTGTCTATGAATTTCTAAGGTAAGAAAGTAACGACTTACCACGCAAAGGAGCCAAAGCACAACATACAGTATCTGTGTCTTAGAGAAGAGGTCTTGTCCAAATTTTATGCAAACAATAGCTTCCAGGAAGGCAATGACCCTAGACACACAAAGAACAAGAGGTGAAATACTAATTCCTATTATCAGAGCACACGCACTACCAGAAATACGCCTTTTTATTCCATTAAAAAGGGCAATTGGTTCTAAGATTTCTGCCCCAAACAGGGGCAGCAGGTCCCCCGCAGAGCGACACCGTCCTACCGACGGCTCTTCCTTCAGAAACAGTACAGCTGACGGCTGGCAACAGGGGTTTGAGCTGCGGGGTCCACTCATCCCCAGGCTTTTTCAATAAATACTGTAAACGTATTCTCTCTTCCTTATGGTTTTCTTAACACCTTCTTTCTCCAGCTTTAGTGCAAGAATGCAGCATAAACACATACAACATACAAAATATGTGGTAATTGTCTGTTTACGTTATTGGAAAGCCTTCTGGTGGGTACTAGACTTATCGGGGGATCACTTCGTAAACTATATAAATGTCTAACCACCATGCTATACAGCTGACACTAATATAAGATACTATTGAATGTCAACTGTAATTTAAAAATAAAATAACTGTAAAAAATAAAAGCAAACCAACAAAAATACCTACTAAGCATTTGGAAAAATCAAACTTGAAACTTTTACTCTACCTTAATTTAAAGGGCACTGTAAGTTAATTATCTAATTCACTGTATTTTATACTTTATCTTCTGGGAATAAAAAGAACTACGGTTAAAAAAACCAAAACAAATGAAAGCCATATAAAAGCATCAGTGAGCCTCCCCAGGGTCGGGAAACCACAAGAGACGTTTAGGGGCTCAGCGTTCTGAAACCTCCACGCCAGGTACTCACCCGAACACCCAGCACTGGGTCCCCACGCGCTTGCACTGCGTGTCGGTGAGGTAAGCGTAGTACTGCCTGCAAGGACAGGGGTCACGAGCTCCTGTAAGACCAAGTCGCTCTGGAGTTCAAGTCCTGCGACAGTGAGTATGCCAACTGTCCTGCCCTGTTCCGCACACGCCGGCCGCCGCGTCTAGTTCTCGGGACAGCGGGCCTGGTGCCTGTCCAATGCTCCTGCGGGAGGTCAGGGGCCGGGCCGGCTGGAGGGAGGGGAGCTGGTTCTAAGAGCCAGGTCACTGGCAAAGGGGGTCTTGGTTCAGGGACAGGTTCCCAAAGCCTCGAGCCAAAGCAACCCCAGCGGGTGCTTCAGTCTCCCTCCAAGGAGGTGATTCCCAAGAGTCACCTGCACTGTCATTAACTGTCCCCTCAGGCTCTCCAGGACGAAGGTGGCTGACGGTAACCAGGCAGGAAATATATATTTTTTGGCTCTCAGAAACTGGACCGGTACCTCGCTGTCACTGAATGCCAATGATTTTGAATGTTACTGACAAAATGAAATAAAGGGGGTGGGAGGGGCAGTGACATGGAGCTGAAAGGCTCAGAGCCGCACCTGCCAACAGGACAACACAAATGCAACGCGAAGCTTTCCTGAAGCCACGTCAGGAAGGTAAAAAGGCACAGACGAAATTCACTTCCATAGTAAATGTTATTTAACTCAATATTCTGAAAACGTTATAAAGAAGTGTTTTATATTGTTTTTTACTAAGTCTCCAAAACCTGGTGTGTATTTTACATGACAGCACATTTCACTGCGGACTGGCCACGTTTCTGGCGCTCACGGCCACACGTGGCGAGCACTGAGTACAGGACGGCACTGCGCCCGTCCCTGCAGAAGCTTCATCGGAGCCAGGAGCTCCTCGCCTGTCCTGGGATCAGCCTCCTTTGAGGATCTGAGGAAAGGCACGTAAAACACGCACACAAAATTCTGCACTAAACTAACATCATTTATGACTTCAGCTCTACTATAACGACATTCATATTTTTCAATAATCTCATGAAAAAGAAAACCTCAGCAACACTGCTCCGCACTCATTTTTTTAAAAAGAGTATTATGGGGAAAGAAAACAGCAGGGAGGTGATGAAGGGGCTGGAGAGTAATGTGGTTTTCAATTCTCTTCTGTTACCCAGGTCTGAGAGCAAAGCATGTTCTTCATGTTATGAATGTGTAATTCTCTAGCGATATCTTCATGGACAATCTGCCCGTTTATGGGACGGGACTTCCCTTGCACTACACGGAGAACAGGAAGCAGGGTGACAAGTCAAGCGACAGGGGCCCCCGCGGTTACCTCACTGTGGGAGCGGTGATGCCGCCAATGAAGAGGATCCTGCACCAGCTCAGCGGGTGGCCGGCTTGGAACACAAAGATGTGCTTCAGGAAGAAGGTGTTCAGCTCGGTCAGCTGAAAAGGAGGAGGCCCATCACCCGGTGCTTCACACTGAGTCACAATCAAGTGTCCCCCTAGTGCACAGTCCACGGCTAAACACAACTGGTGTTCAAAGCATTTTCTAGGCTGCTCTTCAAACCTGGGAACAGCCAGCCAATCGGGGGCACACTTAGAAAAGAGCAGGAATCATGAAAAACACCTATGCCACCTTTTGCGGTCAGGCCAGGTCTCAACGCAGTCCGACTGCAGGACAGTAAAGCTCTCCTAACCAGCAGCAGCTACAGCTGTGTCACTGAGAGGCGACTGTGGCTCGTTCAGCACCTGCCTGGGGCCTGGCAGATCTGTGACCAAGGGCAGCTCTTAAAAGTGGGTGTGAAGGGCTGGTGGCAGCTCCACCTCGGGCAGTGGCACCTTCCCCTGAGGTCAGCATCGGTCCAGCTCATCATGAGTCCTCAGCAGCACGAGACTTCCTCGGGGACGAGCTCAACGCCCAGGGCCTGGTCCTACATTCCCTCCAGATGAAGAGACCAGGAAAGGTCACTGCTTGAGAACACACGTGGACCCGCAGGTCCATTCCAGTGACATAAGACACGTGCATCCTCCCATCACGCTGACTTCAAGGATGCAGAATAAAAAACGGTCACTCATTAACACCCCGCAGGGGACGCTGCTCCCACGGACTGCTCACACTCGGGACACGGTGAGCCCTGGGGGTGCCGCCTTTCCCGGAGCGCACTGCCCTCTCCTGGGCAAACCCAAGTTCCTCCTAGTGCTTCTAACAGAAGAAAACCTGAACCTTTCCCGACATCGCCCCGAAGAGGTAAAGCAAAGCTTAATCCAACCTATTTATATTCCAGTTGAGGCAAAAGCAGGTTTACAGTTGTGAGTACGTGAAATAGTGTATTCTCGTATCAATTATCGTATTCTTTCCCATATGAGCAGCTGCAAACCTACATCTGCCCCACCCTGTACAATTTCTGATGATTCTGAGAGACCCTCCCGGCGAAAGCTGGTTTCCCCCAGCTCGTCTCCCAAAGCTGCGAAACAATGAGCCTGGCGACGGCAGGGTCAATAAAGACGGCTGCCCCTGGAAAGAGGTGCCGGTCACCCTTTCCCAGGGCCCGTGGCTGTCTGAGTTACCTTGATGGTGGCAACCGCTGAGGCACAATTTTAAAAATCACACACTGAATTTGGAACATAAAAGAAAGGCTTGCATTTGTTCCTTTCGTCCGGAAAATGATCTAACAAGCAATCCAATGCCTAACTCATTGGGTACCGGATGCTGACCATGAGCTCCTCTAAGGGGAGTTTTAATGTTTCCTATTTATCATTCAAAGACTCATATTTTAGAATGACTTCCTGATGAAGTACCTAGCGGGTCGGCAATGTCAACTAGCATCACCTCTAAATTGCTGGGTAGGGATTTTTTTCCTAGTTCTGGGGCATCTGAAAAAAATACCTGCCAGATGATCATGAAAAGGTATATTCCGGCCACTCTCTGAAATGAAGACTTGGGGTCAAACCATCGGACGTAGGTCCAGCTAGCAGGGGTGAACTGCAGCACAGCTCTTTTGATTTTCCCAGTGGTGGTGTGGATGTCCCTGTAAGAAGAGAACAGCTCCAGTGACAATCTGAAGAGATAAAACAGGGGATGAAAAAACCCCAAACCAAGGGGAAAAAAACACAACACGGGGCACTGACTGTTTACAACCAATGCTCAGAACAAAAAGATTCCTTTCCACTTGAACTGTCTCTCCGACAATGGCCTCTATTCACAGGTGAGGCTCTGGGGAATTTCAGGGACAACAGGCCCAGCGCAGGGCTCGGGTCACTGCGCAGCCAGAAGGGGCCTTAATTTGTGAACTGGTGACAAACGAAGCTCAGAGGCCCAGCGACAACCTTCTGGAACCGGGCCAGGAAGGAGGGTGCCAGCAGGAATCCAGTTTTCACCTACGGTTTGCCTCCCAAGTCAGGCCTTTTAGTAGAAAACATGCTCCATATTCTTTTTATTATTTTTTTAAATATGTTTTTATTGATTTTAGAGAGAGGAAGGGAGAGAGAGGAACATCAATGAGAGAAACATCCACCCACTGCCTCCTGCTCGCCCCCTACTGGGGATGGAGCCAGCAACCCCGGCATGTGCCCTGACCAGGAATCCAACAGGCGACCTCTTGGTTCATGGATCAAAGCTGAACCACTGAGCCACGCCGGCCGGGCACAACCTGTATTCTTGAGGCCTCCCACACCACTACTTCACCCTGTTCGTCCTCAGATAAGCAAGCAGTGATTTTTAATCCTAGAATTGACTCCGTTTAAAATTTCACACCCCTAAGGCAGAAACCGTCCACACATCACAAACGAGAACACTTAGGCTCAGAGAGAGAACTGGCTGACGCAGGCTCAGTCTGCTATGGAAATAAGTGAGGTTTTACACAAAATAAAAACAGCTGCAATTTTCACATCACTGCCGCTGCTCCTTTCCTCCTCGACGGCATGGTCCCTGCCACAGTCACGCTGAGCAAGCTCAGAGAAGCAGGTGAAGAACGACAGGGGCGTGCACTGTCCTCCGGGGGCAGAGGAGGAACTTGCCGTGTGAACTAGACAGCGACAGCTCCCTGAAGAGGTAGCAAGTGAGCCCGGTCGGGAAAGTGAAGGCCCCTGGCCCCCGGGAACACAGTCAAACCCAGGCAGACAGGAGTAAGTCACCGGCTCAGGGTGTCGGGTGCTGAGGGTGGGGAGAAAGGGACCTCGCCTGTGAGTCCGTGGGCGTTCACTGTCCTGAAGACCACGAGAAGCTATCGCAGGGGAGCGACACTGGGAACGGGGCGTTCTTTAAAAAGTCACCCCAGCAGTGCTGTGCGGAGGCTTTGCGGGGCTAACTTGGAGAGATGGGGCCAATAAATCCGGTGACGGGAGCCACGCAGGCGGAGGCGGGAAGGAGGGGGTGGTTTTGAGAAAATCATACATGACTCGGCACTTCCTGGACGAATGCCTGAAATTAGGTTTACGATCGCTGACGAGTTTCAGTGACCAACGTGTAACCTATCCCTGGCCGTCCAGGACCGTGCTGCAGAGCCGCAGGCGGTGGGGACGCAGGCGCCGGGAAGGCCGCGACGGCGGCCGGGGGGCGGCTCACCTGAAGCTCGCCCAGTGGTAGGTCCTCATCTCCAGGAAGCGGCAGACGACCATGCCCAGCCAGATGCCACCGCCGTTGCAGAGCAGGATGTCCAGGACCACCTGGTCCCACCAGCACTCGGCGAAGTTGGGCAGGAGGTGCATGAAGAAGAGCTGAGGAGCGTAACAGACGGCGGTGACCAAACTGAAAACATGCACCACAGAGAAAGGTACACTGCCTTTTGATAACACATGCTTTAGGAAAAGCTGCTGACACGTCAGTTTTTCCTAATGTATTGAACAAAAAAAAAGCAGGGTCCGTAATCTGTTCTCCAAACAGCACTGATGCCAACAGCTCATCTGCCCTTGAAGAAACGACGGCCCCGCTTTACAAACACTGCTGGTGAGCTACACCGGCTAACGACAGCGTGAGGAGG